GAAATCACACGCAAGCGGAAGTGAATTTTAAAAAAAAAATAGTTGATGTTACTGTAGACATTTGCAGTCTGAATAACATATCCAAAAACAGTTGCAAACACTTTATCTATAAAAAAATATATATTGGAAAGAAAATGTTCAAATTATTTAGTTTTTCTCAGACTGTAACCGGAAGTTGTCGTTTTTGATTCCGGTGGAGCTGATATATTTTGAAACTACAAATAAAGCGCTATAATGTGATGCAATAAACGTTCCATAAAAGAAAAGATGAAATTTCCGATTTTTTGACCACTTCCTGTGACGACCGGAAGTGTTGGCGGACAATCTTAACCCATATGTTTTTCCCTTTTCGTCAAGATATACCACTCCTATAAGTTTGGTGTCTACATCTCTTACCGTTTCAGAGATATAGCTATAAGAACTATTCATTTTGAGGACAGGAAATCACGCAACCGGAAGTGAATTTTCCAAAGATTTTTGACGTTACTGTAGTGATTTGCAGTCTGAATAACACATCTGAAAATCATTTCAAAAACTTTATCTATAAAAAATATTTATGGGAAAGAAAAATACTGAAAATATGCAGTTTTTCTCTTATAATCGGAAGTTGTCGTTTTTGTTTCCGGTGGGACTGACATATTTCGAAACTACGAGTAAGATGCTATAATCTGATGCTAAAAAACTTTTAAAAACGAAAAGTTGAAATTTTCGATATTTAAGAACACTTCCTGTGACGACCGGAAGTGACGGTGGACAATCTTAACCCAATTGGATTTGCCTACTTATCAAGATCTATCATCCCTGTAAGTTTGGTGCCTTAATCTTTTACCGTTTCTGAGATTTCACTCGGATTAAATATTTTTGAAAAAAGCGGAAATCGGACATATCTGACGACCGGAAGTGAATTTTGAAAAAATGAAAAAAACTTCTCGGGGTATTTTCATTCTCTATCATCTCTGAAAATTTCAGGAAAATCCGTCCAGCCATCTCTGAGAAATCCTGCCGACAAGATTTGGGGAAAAAAATAATAATAAGAATAATAACTAGAAACTCTTGTTGCTAAAGCAACAAAGAAGGTCTTCCGTTCTCCTCTATTTATCTGCATAAATGAGCTTTAATCTATGTTACAAATCTACAAATAAGATGCTATAATGTGATGTAAAAAAGTTTTCAATAAGAAAAGTTGAATTTTTCTATTTCTTTGATCACGTCATGTGACGACCGGAAGTGACGGCGGACAATCTTATCCCAACTTGTTTTGCCTACTCATCAAGATCTACTACTTCTTAAAATTTGTGTCTTAATCTCTTACCGTTTATGAGATCTAGCTATGATAACTTTTCATTTTGAGGACAGGAAATCACGTGACCGGAAATGAATTTTACAAAGATATTTGATGTTACTGTAGACAGTTGCAGTCTGAATAACATATCCAAAAATCATTACAAATACTTTATCTATAAAAAATATTTATGGGAAAGAAAAATACTCAAATTATGCATAACATGTTTTTCTCTAATAACCGGAAGTTGTCGTTTTTGTTTCCGGTGGGACTGACATATTTCGATACACAAAAAATAATATGCTATAAACATATTGGCATTAGATGCAAAAAAGTTTGAACAAAGAAAAAGTTGAAATTTTCGATTTCTTTGATCATTTCCTGTGACGACCGGAAGTGACGGCGGACAATCTTAATCCTTACTGTTTTTGCATACTTATCAAGATTTACCACTTCATTAAGTTTGGTGTCTTAATCTCAAACCGTTTATTAGATCTAGCTATGATAACTTTTCCTTTTGAGGACAGGAAATCACGTGACCGGAAGTGAATTTTACAAAGATATTTGATGTTACTGTAGACAGTTGCAGTCTGAATAAAACCCACAACCCGTTTTAAAAAATCATTACAAATACTTTATCTATAAAAAATTTATAATGGGAAAGAAAAATACTATAAATTACGAGTTTTTCTCTAATAACCGGAAGTTGTCGTTTTTGTTTCCGGTGGGACTGACATATTTCGATACCACAAATAATATGCTATAATATGATGCAAAAAAGTTTGAAAAAAGAAAAAGTTGAAATTTTCGATTTCATTTGATCACTTCACTGTAAAAATACACGATATAGAAGTGACGACGGACGATCATAACCCAATTGGTTTTGCCTACTTAAAAGCAAACTGGACTGTTCACATTCGCCGTTCACTTGTATTTTTTTTTCAAATTCAAAATTCGATGGATATGATAATGGCACTCATTTTTATTTGAGCATGAAATTGGACATTTATGAATGATTGAAGAGCAAGTGAATTTTCAAAACAGAAAACAAGCTGCAATGACATTTTATAAGTATAAATACAACATAAAATTTCATTTGTGACAAGTCATTGTCATCGGGAATAAACTTACAATTTTTAGATGCACTTAACTTTTTACTGATACTTTTGGAACTAATGATCAGTTTGAATTTAACCCATATTTTAATAGCTAGGTAAAGAAACAATTTTTGATAAACTCCGTAAGCATTTTCTATATAATCAATTATAGGCTTATACACACTAGAGGTTGACCAATTTCCCCATAAGTTACAATTTTTCCGGGGAAGTATTTAATACCTAGATAGTCAGAAGATTTTCAAAGATTTAACTGATTTTTTATATATTCAACCTGAGTTTGAAACTCCAAATTTTCACCCATTCATAAATTTTGTCTTGTTATGGTTCCTGCATTTCACGTACGTTTGGACCAAGTTTATTTAATACAATGCCAGATCTGACTGAAGTATAGATTCAAAGATGGTACAAAGTCATTTTTTTCCCTCTATAATCAAAGTGTTTAATATACCTAACACCAGATACCCCTCGATATAAAATTAAATATTCACAATTTTGGTAGATCATGCTTATTTAAATACAATTTAAAGGCATTTTTTAAAGATTGCTTGCTTTAATAAGGGACAGTTCACTTAATTTGTTTTTTTTCAAAGTCAATATCATTTTTTAATTTTTGCCCATCCCACTTTATTGCTGGGTTGGTGCCGGGGAACCGTTTCTGATTTCTATTTTTGCAATAAATAGCATTATATGCATAATTTATTGTTCAAATTCATTAATTTTAGAGAAACCAAGAGATAAAAGAATTTTTGTTTTTACCTGTTTTTTGTTTGTCAAGCAAAAGTAGTTTTATAATTTATCTAGATTTCAACTGAGTGCACTTTTGGGGCTGGGGGGGATAGGGGGTCAACTGAGTGCACTTTTGGGCTGAACTTCTTAATTACAAAAGTTGTTTACATCATTTATTTTTTTAGATAGGGGGTTCAAGAGGAGTGCAGCCCCTGTGGGGATAGCCGGGTCAAGGGAGTGCAGCCCCTGTGGGGGATAGTTGGGTCAAGGGAGTGCAGATTAGGGGGTCTGTGGGGGATAGCTGGGTCAACTCAGTACAACCCTAACCCTAACCCTAGGGGGAGTAGGTGGGTTAGTACAGAGCCCCTATATGTCCTATACGGGGTGTTTACACTGTGTTTACATTATACACTACGCTGCTACTACGATTCACAACGCTGCTACTACGATTTTGGCAGCGAGTCAAAAGAATTTGATTATGACGTCACTCATTCACAGTGATTTTCCGAAAACTGAAAAAAAAAACAATAACACACAATAGAAACAAGAACACAGATTTTATTCAAGTAAAAAAATACAACAATTTACTTTTTCTTCTTCTGGGCCTTATCGGTCATCAGGGGTAGTTTCCTCTTGGGTTCCTGAGGTTTTTTCTCCAGTTTTTGTATTTCTTTAACCAATTGTTGATCCTCCTCATTCTCTGTACACTGATTAGCCCAATGACCAGATTTCCCGCACTTATAGCACGAATCCTGTTTTTTTCGGGGACAATCTGGGGCCCAATGCCCTAACTCTTTGCAGATGTAGCATGGATCCGTCTGTCTGGTTTTCTTTTTTTCTCCTGATCCCCCTTGTTTTTTCTGGTAAGTGCTTCCTCCTTTCATTTTAGTGATGTAACTTTTCAGATCAGTCAGCTTGTTGTCAAGACCAGACAGCATGTTGACAATCCCAGCCAGAGTTGTATTTAATAGGCCCATATCTTCTTTATTCGCATATGCTGGAAGATTATACATACCCAAATCTAATCCCACTGCATCCTGTGACTCTGGCATGGGGGCTCCTACATACCCTTCAGGTATCACATAGCTGGGGTTGTGTGGAGTATTCATCATTGCTTCTGCCATACTATTTTCACGTCTGTCAAGTTCGAAGTGTCAAGCAAGACTGATTGTCAAATTTTACAGTTTTTTGCTTTATATACCTGCTGTGGGGCGAGTGCACGTTTTACCTACGTTTTTATGCTGACTACGCAGGTAATACTTGGCAGCGAGTCAAGTTTGTTTAGGGCCGTGTGCAAAAAATATGCTGACTACACAGGTAAATACTTGGCAGCGATTCAAGTCAGGGGGGCCGTGTGCACCTTTGACCTACCTTTTTATACCTGTTGCATCACCTGTGAGGGGGGCCGTGTGCAAAAAAAAATACGATAGACCTACGTTTTTTATGCTGACTACACAGGTAAATACTTGGCAGCGATTCAAGTCAGGGGGGGGGGATTCCATACATTTTCTATGTCGACATATGAAAACAATTCTGCCCCAGAAATGGTACGGACTGAACCTGACCCGTTATTTCGGAAAGCCTTACAGTTTCCTGACTCATCCCCAAGCGGGCAAAGTGATTTTACTGTGGCAGGACATAGATGCGATGGAGAAAGTATGTATTCAATACGGAATGAAATACCTGGAAATTTCACACAGGCTAGGAAATCCGTGACTTTTAATACCAGCCTCAATCAAATCTACGAATTACCCCCCGAAGACCGGAGAAGTCCCTGGATGGCCCTAGTAGCGGATCGAATACGATTTCGGAGGAGAATTCGACAGTTAGAAGCATTGTTAGTTTTTAAGAAATAAAAAAAAAAAATCATGTAATACTACATCAGTGTTATGTTATTTTTATGACTTCATCTTTATACAGTCGGGTTCGGGTTCGGCGGCCATAGCGAATTTCGGCGAGATTTTACCCCAGTGAAAAAGGCTTGTAATCTACCTTGTAGGTCGTTTAAAGTTGTTTCACATTGTTTATAATTGTGATTATGTTATCCCTCACCTATATGTTTAATGTCAGCTATGCTAAATAACCCATTTCTGTGTAATTTGAGAAAATGTTTTTGTCATGTGCTTAAAGTATGGCCTGCTATTCATGTCATCATTTAAAAAGTCAATCCTAAATAAAATCTGTCTTTAAAAAATACATTTTACAAATGACATTTAATATGATTAGAGTATAGGAATCCATATATATATAAGAGATATTCTTTTTGTATTACATTTATAAGAGACATTGTCTCATGTAATTTAAATCATAATAACAAAAAATGGGTTTTATTTTTCTATACAGTCCTCAAACCTGGAAGATATGTTTTGTTCCTAACCAATCCATTCTCTAAGTGAAGTGAAGCCTGGCTGTTGGTCTTCCTTTGGGAAATATACAGTGAAATAACTAACATAAAAACAAAAACAAAACTTGAATCTAAAAAAAAGTTTCAATGAGATATCATTTTAATTTATTTAATTATTATTATTAAGATAATTATTTTAAATGTTTATATTTTTAAAATGGAATAAAAAATAAATAAAATCTGATAATGGAAATCAATACTATAAAGATAGCAAGTTTTTTTATCTTTAAGTGCTGATGAATTTCTGAATTTTCCATTAAAATATTTGACATTATATCACAGGGGAAAAGAAAAAAACTACTTGAGTGTTTCTACTGACCCCCCAGAGATCTGCTTATGAGTGCATGGGGATTGCGGTGGACCTTCATCTCCTGTTTAAAACAGACATTAGAGTATGACAGATAAAAAGGTACTTTTTTTTTCTTCTTTATTTTACATCACATGAAAACACACAATTAATGATGATGATGAAGAATGTACACATGTTTTTCATAAGTGTGTACAAATTGTTCAATATAATGTCTATAATGAATCCAATTTCCTTGGGCTAGTCCACACCCAATCTTGTAAGGAAAAGCATAAGTCTGGTAAGGTAAACTTTCCCCCATTTCTTGTAAACAAGCTTGAAACCATTGCTCTCTGTTTTGTGGGGTATCCTGATAAGTGGAAATTCTTTTAGGTCGGTGACTTGCTTTTCCATAATCCCATTGAGCTAATAAACAAATGACCACAGGAGTTTGTGAGGGAAACACCTTAATAGTGCCTGGAATTCCTCTATCTTCTTCTACGGCTAAATTTCTAGTCCCTAGAGGTCTGCGAGTGGCATAGAGATTAGCTTGTGGGAATTTCTCTGCAATACTTTGACTCAATCCATGAGCTTTTACAGTTAAACAATTACATTGATGAACAATAGCTTCTACCTCACAGTTGAGTAAATCACCTTGTATCTCCTGGAGACTCATGATGTAAAATGAATCTATTTTTTAAAACACCCTTGTTTTTATAGAACAACAACAACAAGAATTTTTTTTTAAAAAAACAAGTTTTTTTTTTATTATTCAGGTAAATCTACAATCTCTTGGAACTAATTCTTTGTTTCTCACATCAGGTTTTAGAACTCCATATTCTTCATAGTCACCTTGTCTATAAAAAGTTCTTTCCAATTCTGGGGTGCTGTAAGACATCTCAAAACAGGTTAATTTATGAATCTTTCTGTACATGTATCTCCCTTGAACTCTGTTTTTCCCCCCGCCCCGGGTACGATTTTTTTTTTTTTAAAAAAATTTTTTTTTTTTTTTTTTTTGGAAATTTTAAAAATTTTTTTTTTTAAATTGTTTTAAAATTTTTGTTTTCCCCCCTTTAGATTTTAAGGGTTTTGGGTTTTCCCCTTTTTTAAAAATTTCCCCCCCGGGAAAAAACCTTTTTTTTCAAAAAACCCTTTTCTTTTTTTTGGGGGTTTTTTTTTGTGAAATAAAAAAATTTGGGGCCCCTTTTTTCCCCCAAAAAAAACCAAAAATTTTTTTGGGAAAAAAAAAACCCCCCCTTTTTTTTTTTCCCCCCGCCCCTTTGTTTCCCAAAAAAAAGGGGGTTTTTTCTGTTTTCCCGAAAAACCCTTTTTTTTTTTTTTTTTAATTTTTAAAAATATTTTAAAAACCAAAAACAACAAAAAAAACAAAGGGAATTTTTTTTAAAAAAAAAATTTTTTTTAAATAAAATTTTAAAAAAAAGGGGTTTAATTTTAAAATTTTTACAATTTTTTAGCATTTTCTTTTTTTTTAAAAAGGGATTTTCTTGTTTGGGAAAATTTTTTCCTTTTTCCCCCGGGGTTTAAAACAAATGGGACTTTCCCCCCCCCCGGGGGGGGAACCAAGAAAAGGGGTAATTGGTTTTTTTTTTTAAAAGGGATATTTTAACCAAAAAACTAAAAAATTTTTTAAAGGGAAAAATCCCCCCAAACATTGGGGTTTGGGGGTTTTTTTTTTTAAAACAAAATTTTTTTAAAAAAAATTTTTATTTTCCTTTTTTAAAATTTTGCTTCCCCCGGGGCGGGGAATTTTTTTTTTAAAAAAACCCTTTTATTTTTTTTTTTAAAAAAATTTTTAAAATTTCCCAAACCCCCAAAACCCCCCCAAAAAAAAAAGGGGGGGAAAAGGGGTTTTTTTCCAAAAAAAAAGGGGAAAGGCCCCCCCTTTTGGGGAAAACAAATAAAAATTTTTTAAAAACAAACAAGGAAAAAAAGGAATTACCTTTAAAAGGGGTGGTTTTTTTTTTTTGGGGGGGATTTTTTAAATTAAAACCCCTTTCCCCTTTTTAAAAAAAAAATTTTTTTTTTTTTATATGGGAAAAAAATAAAAACAAAATTTTTTGGCCCAAAAAAAAACCCCCAAAAAAAAAAAAGAACTATAAAAAACTTTAAAACTTTTTCATTTTTTTTAGGGAAAAAGGGAAAATGTACAAAAGCTGTTTAAAGGAAAACCCTACCCTTTTTAAACCCCCCTTTTAAAATTTTTTAAAATCTATTTTTTATTTTTCCCTTTTTAAAATTTGGGTCCCTTTTTGGTGGGAAACAATTATTTCCTTTTAAAACCCATTTGGACGGGGTCCAAATTGCCAGGGGCTTTTGGGGGGGGGCGGAATGGTTTTTTTCTAATTTCAGACCTGTTTTTTTTTTACTCAAAAATTTTTTTTGTTTTTAATTTTTCCCTTTAAACTATCCCCACTTTTTTTTTCCCAACGTATTAGTTAAAAAATTCAGAGGGCCTGTTACTCAGAAAAATGCCTTTGGTTTTGGGCTCCTTTTTATGGGGGTTATTAAAGGGTTTTACAACCTTTTTTCCCCGGGGGAGACAGGGGGACTGGGCGAGAACCCACCAAAATACCAACTAATACCTTTGAAGGAAAAGCTAAATAAACTTAAAAGGGGGGAAATAAAATGAAAAGGGAAAATAAAAATTTTTTGGGGAAAAATTTTCCCAAAAATTTAAATGGGGTTTTTTTGTGAACCGTTTAATCCAAATAAAAGGGGGGATACCTTTAGGCTTTGACTTCTTAATATTTTCTTGTGTTTTTTTTAACCCCCCAAAATTCGTACAGGTTTTTTTTTTAAGACTTTTTAACTTTCCGAAAAACCCCTTTAACCCCCTTTTTAATCGATCTACACGTAAATCCCCCTCTTTAAAATGGAAATACCGGGCCTTGGGAAAATTTTTTAAAGGGGCGTTTGCTTTATATCGTTTTACCCGGTTTTAAATTGGGGTTTTTTGGTTTTTATATTTTTTTCCCCCCAAAAACCAGCTTTTAACCTTCGAAGGTTAAGGGGGCTTTATAGGATATATAAAACCATAAACCGGAAAACCCAAATCCGTTTTTTTTACCTGAAAAGAATGGGTTTTGACCGAAATTTTCCAGTACGGTTTGGTGTCCTATTGGGGGTAAAGAAAGAAGGATTTAAAGGAAAATTTCGAGGAAATTCCCGACCCATTAACGGACGGGAGTGGTCTTGGGAAAAAACCAATCAAATTTTTTTTTTTTTTGTTTTTTTTTTTTAAAGGACCCCCTGAATTTGATAAAGAATCAACAATAAAAAATAAACCTCATTTTTTTTTAAAGGAAACCCCAAAAATTGATTTTCTCAATTCATTGGGTTTTTCCCCTTTTTCGTGGGGTTTTATAAAAAGTTAGGATTTTTTTTTAAATTTTTATGGTGTTAGGGGGGAAATTCCATTTCCCTAAAAATTTTTCCCCC